CCAGCGCCCTGGCTCCGCCCGCCAGCACAGCTTCCCTGAGGGCTGTCTGTTTGCTCCTCGGATTCCTGTTGTGCCTGTAAGTAAAGCCTCTTCGCCTTCACTGCTCCCTCCCGCAGCTGTCACGTGTTTGTGGATTCCCTGCTTCCTTAGAGGGGTTTGTTGGTGCCCCTCCCTTCCCTCCTAATAGTCCTCAGGCCAACTTGGGGCGGGCTTTCTGACCTGTGAAAACTGGGATGGGGCAGGGCGGCATCTCTGGGGTGGAAAAAACATGAACAAATCCCAGCGGGAGGGGAAGGGCAGGGTGGGGTTGAGAGGGTGTTGTTTGGCTGAGAGAGGAGGTGTGCACCCAGTTGGCAGTCAAGCAAGGCCTCGCTTGTCCGGGTGAGGAGTGTGTGCTTTGCCAGGTGGAGGCAGTATCGAGCCAGGGTCGCAACTGGAAGAATTCAGGTACGTGGGGGGTGAGAAAGGGGAAGCAGGGGAATAGGAAGAGAGAGAGGAGGAAGATAAGGAGGAGAAGGAGGAGGAGGCGGAAGAGGAGGAGGAGGGGAGAAGGAGCAGGAGAAGGAAGAGGAGGAGGCAGGCCCAGAGGGAGGGACATCTTTGGCTTGGGTGGTGCAATAGGAATGGCAAGGCATCACTGTGACACTTCAGGCATCCTCGTCTTGACAAAGTACAGTCTCCACCAGCTGCCACCCACTGAGGAACAGGCCTCAGCTGATCCCGGGAGGGGAGAGGGCGCGCAGCACAGAGCAGAGCAGCTGGCAGAGGAATGCCTGAAAGTGGAAGGGCATCTTCGAGCTTCTCAAGAGCAGCCTTTGTTACAGAATCATTCACTTGTTTTCGTGATAGCGCGAGGAGTTGCGTTTGCGAATATGATGCAGAGAGCTGAAAGCTGAATCTGACGTTTCGTGTTTTACGCCCATCCTGTGACGCGTTGGGGGCTGGAAACGCGGGCATTTCAGAAGCCCACGTGGGGAGAGGTTGGGCTCTCAGCGCCCAGCACCTTAGGTGCTGGACTTCATCTCTCAACACCGGCACCTCCCGTCCACCTGAGAGGATTGTATAGAACAAGGAAAGCTGACATCTGTAGCGTTCTCGCCGAGGGCTGGGCAGGTACCAGCCACTCCATCCTCTGGCTGGCTCCGTCCTCTCGCTGACTCTGTCCTCTCACTGACTCCAGTGGAGGCAGCACTCCCCGACATTTTGCAGAAGAGGGTGGTGTTAATTATCTCAGTCACACAGCACTCCATGGCCGAGCTTTTCACCCACTTACCTTCTTCTTCCAGCCAGCTTCTAACAGGCTGGTGAGAGTTCATAAGGGCATGCCTAGGACAAGCTTTAAAATCCTCAAGTACACTCGAACACAAATGTTTATAGCAGCTTTATTCCCAATGGCCCAAACTTGGAAGCTAGCACGATGTCCTGTAGTGGGTGCAGAGATTAAACTGGGCCATTGTATCCAGTGCTTCAAGCACATGCAGGAAACGTAAGGGCTCCTACATTACCATCCAAGGTGAAAGAAGCCAATCTGAAAAGGCTGCGTGCTGTACGATGCCAGTCCTATGATACTCTGGAAAGGGCAGCACCATGGAGACAGTGGAAAGATTGGTGTTTGCTCAGGATCAGAAGTGGGGAGGAAGGAGTAGACGGAAGGGAGGATTTTTAGGGCAGGAAAACTACTCTGTATAAACTGTAATAGTGGCTACATGTCATTATACCTTTGTCCATACCTATAGAGGGTACAACACCAAGAGCGAACGGTGTTCTTGGTGAACGGTGGACTTGGTTGTGTCTAAGCTGGGGCTGCCATAACAAAAATACTTGGGCGCCTTAAACACTTAACATTTATTTCCCACATTTTAGGAGGCAATGCAAGGGTCCTCTTCCTAGTGCACAGACAGCCTTCTTCTCGCCATGTTCTCAAAGGTGATAGGGACTGGGAAGCTCTGTGGAGTCCCTTTTATAAAGGCACTGCCTTCATGACCTAGTCACCTCCCGCAGGCCCCACCTCCTACCGCCATCACACTGGGGATTAGATTTCAGCATATGAATTGGGGGGGACACAAACTTTCAGTTAATGGTGATCATATGTGTTAGTGTAGATTCATCCATTTCAGTCATGTACCTCTGTGACAGGGGTGTTAATAGAGGAGGAGGTTGTATGAGGAGGAACGGGGCTATGTGGGAACTCTCTGTACCATCTAAATTTGCTATGAACCGAAAACTGCTCTAAACAGTAAAGTCTATTTTAAAAAATCTTCAAGTGACCAAATGCAAATTTATATATATAACCAAACTTGAAGCATTTGAGTTAAAGTTCTAGAATATCTTTTTACAAGAGAGCCAGCTAATTTCTTCTAAGATGTCTCTTTTTAAATTATTTTTTTAAATATATTTTTTATTGACTTCAGAAAGAAAGGAAGAGTGTGAAAAAGATAGAACATGAATGATGAGAGAGAATCATTGATCAGCTGCCTCCTGTATGACTGGGGATGGAGCTTGAAACCTGGGCATGTGCCCTGGCTGGGAATCCTGGTTCATTGAGGTAGACACTCAACTGCTGAGCCATGCCAGCCTTGTCCTCTTATAATTATTTATTCTTTTAAGTGCCTGGAGTTTGGGGGTACTTCAAACTTGAAACGTGGGTGTAAAAGAACTAAATGGAATGCCCTTTCCTCTGGCACCACCTGCTTTCTAAAATCGCCCCTGGGGGAGATTGTCCTCGGTGTTTCCTTCCATCTGGGGCATGTGCCAGCTTGGCCACCTGCGGGACTAGGTTATCAGCCTGGCCTCTGCTCTGAGCACCCCTGGCTGACAGTGAGTCAGATCAATTTGCATAGAATGCTTTGCACCCATTAACTGTGTCTCCTGAACTGGGAAAGGACAACCCACCTTGCTGGGAGATTTCATTTTATATCCTCCACTGTCCAGAGCTCTGGACTCTCTTCACAAGCCTGGTCAAAGACCTGGCCCCTTGCATGGAGCATTAAAGCCTGTGAATGTCTTTATACATCAATGCCAAGGATACCACCTGGCCATGCAGGGTTGTGACCAGGAGCTGTAGGTTTGCAATAATCTCGTATCATGCTCTGTCCCTTCCCATTTGGGTGGCTTTGGGCAAGGTTCTTCAACATCTTGAGTCTCTGTTTCCTGCTCTCTAGAATGCCAGTCACATTTGCTGCCTACAGTTGTGGGGATTATATTTAGGTCTGCCCTCTATGGCACTGAGCCCAGAGCCTGGCACTTTAGTAGCATTGTTTATTACTGGTTTTAATCATGTTCTATATGGTGGATGCAAATGGATTAGGATCAGTTTTGTGAGACCTTGAATAAGTCACTGAAACACCCAGAAACTCATTTTCCATATCTATAAAGTGAATATTAAAATGCTTTGTCCACCTCTGGCCAGTGTGGTTCAGTTCATTGGATTGTCTTTGCGAACACCAAAAGGTGGTGGGTTCCATTCCTGGTCAGAGTATATATCCAGGTTGTGGGTTCAATCCCCAGTCAGGGTGTGGGAGGAGGTGGCTTCAATGTTTTACTCTCACATTGGTGTTTTTATCTCACTCTCCCTTCCTCTCTCTAAAATCAATAAAAATAAAAAATTTATAATTGTGCTGAAACCGGTTTTGGCTCAGTGGACAGAGCATCAGCCTGCAGACCGATGGGTCCCAGGTTCGATTTTGGTCAAGGGCAAGTATCTTGGTTGCGGGAACATCCCCAGTAGGTGACGTGCAGGAGGCAGCTGATCGATGTTTCTCATCGATGTTTATAACTATCTATCTCTCTCTCCCTTCCTCTCTGTAAAAAAATCAATAAAATACATTTTTTAAAAATTGCTTTTGCTTTGTCTATTTCACATTGGTTGTAAGGATTGTGTAAAGAACCTTGAAAACTGGGTACCCTTTCTGAGTGCTTATAATGCACTACACATGTTGCTAAGGGTATGGAATCACTTACAGGAAGTGGTTACTAGTGGCTTAATCCCCCCACTTTGTTTTGGGGGAAAGGAATTATTTTCCTAATGCTGCGGCCAAACTGACCCTCCTCCGTCATCTGTCCAGTTAGATTAGAGGCAGGGAGGCCACGGACTTGGTTGTCCTTCCAGCCCCATATCTTCCAACAGCCCTTAGATGGACCCATCCTGTGTGTTGAATGAATGAGAGAACAAACGAGTGAATGATATAGACGCAGGCTGCCAGGAGATGCAGAAGCCACGGTGAAATCTGAGGGGTGTGGGCTCAAAGTGCAGCCTCTGAGCCTGCTTACCACTCACCAGGGCCTGGGGTATGCCCAGCCCCAGACCCAGTGGAAAAAAAAAAAAAAAAAAAAAAAAAAATATATATATATATATATATATATATATATATATATATATATATATATATATATATATATATTACTGATTTTTTACAGAGGAAGGGAGAGAGGGATAGAGAGCTAGAAACATCAATGAGAGAGAAGCATCCACCAGTTGCCTCCTGCACACCCCCAACTGGGGATGTGCCCGCAACCAAGGTACATGCCCTTGACCGGAATCTGGGACCTTTCAATTCGCAGACCAACGCTCTATCCACTGAGCCAAATCGGTTTCGGTTAAAACCTGACATTTTAAACAGGTGCCCCCGCCGGAGCCGGCTCTCTAGGTCTCAGAGGAGAGGCCTATGGGTCTGTAGTTCTGGAGGAGCAATCAGGGCAGCTTCCCGGAGGAGGCGCCCCCTGGGGATAAAGAGGCCGGTGGTTGGGATTGGCGACGGCGGCCAGAGCCCGGGGCTTGTTCACGTACGCAGCCTCAGCGCCCGGCAAACGTACGTGGCACGAAAACACCGCAGGCAGGGGCTCCCCTGGCCGCTCCCCCTCCCCCGTCCCCCGTCTCTGCGCCGCGACCCCTCCCGTCCGGCCCCGCTCCACGGCCAGCGCGCAGGCGCGGGGGAGGGCGCACGCGGATGACGTCACTCTGCGTCGACCCGGCCCGGGTGTCGCGTACTGATCGCGTCGCCATGGAGCTCAGGGCGGGTGAGGGTCCTGTCCCGGATCTGGCGGGGGGCCTAGGGGCTACGGAGGGAAGGATGGGGGCAGGGAGGGCCCATGGGGAAGGCGGACGGGTCACGCGGGAGAGGGCTGGGGTCGAACGCGGGCGGGATACCGAGATAATGGGGTCAGAGGGAGGAGGGCTGCTGGCCGGCCTGGAGGTGACGTCCCTTAGCCCTGTACCAATCATCACGACTGCTCCCGAGAGATCTTCCCTTCCCTACCATTCCTGCTTTACAGAGGGAAACAGGCTCTCAGCCGCTTGCAATGTTACCGAAACGCCGGGGCACTTCGTCCGTCATTGTCTTCCTGATGCTTCGGGCGTCCCAGGCACTGGGGAGGCTGGGCCCAGAGCTCCCCGGGCCTTGGTGACTAGTTGCAGGAGTGCCCGGCAAAGATCACCTAGAGCTCATGGTGCGCCAGGGCCCTGCCCTGACTGACTGCACGTGCGGCGTGAACACCGCACAGTAAGCAGTTGCTGACAACGCAGGGGGGTGAGAAAAAAAGACCCTTGGAGGTGCTGCCACGTGCCAGGACCGAGCTCAGAGCTAGAGGGAGAAAGAAGAGTGAAACCGGAGCTGACCTGACCCGCAGCCACAGCACAGGGCCCGGCATTTCACACATTGATATATGTCGCCTTTTATTTTTCTGACCATTTCCTATGTTTTCAGAACTTTCCAAGGGCAAGGACCGTGCCCTTGTAGTCTCTCCCTGCCCTCCCAGTTAGCCCAGTGCGTTCTGAATGGGAGCCACTTAAATGTTTGTGATGAATGGACGCTCCAGGGCAGGGCCCCGGTTTCTGCATGTCTTGTGTTCCACACAGAAGGGTCCCGTTAGGGATATTGTAGGACTTCTGGGTTGTTAGTGAAAGTGATGATGTAATAGCCTTAGGATAGTTGTGTCAATGTAATTGTTTCTGTTTTGGGGGAAAAAACCACACACACACACACACACACACACACACACACACACAAGAAAACTGTGAGGATGCTCTGGGTTCTTTTTTTTTTTTTTTTTTTTAATTGATTTTAGAGGAAAACATCAATTTTTTTGTTCCACTTATTTATGCATTCATGTGTTGATTCTTGTAAGTGCCCTTACTGGAGGTTGAACCTACAACCTGACATATCAGGATGATGCTCTGCAACTGTCCCTAGAGCTTTCCGGGCTTTGGTTCAGCCAGGGCCTCTGGGTGCTTAAAGGAAGGATGACTGTCTTTGAGCACTCAGAGCACGCCTTCTGGGGGAGGTGGTGTCTCAGTCCTGAAGGGAGAAGGGGGCCTGGACCTGGGAGGAGGGGAGAGGAGAAGAAGTATTAAGGCCTGGAAATGAGAGAGGTGGGCAGGTGTTGGGGCCAGGGACCATCAATGGTTGAGCCACTTTTTGGATTTGAAGTGAGGAATGATGGGAGATGAGGCTGAAGTGGCCAGCAGAGTTTTGCAGTTCATTCCACACCTTCCAACAGAGGAATCTGCAAAACAGTGGAGCAGAATGGAAGAGGGGAGACTTCCTGGAGGTGGTGCTAAAGCTGGGCCTGGAAGAAAGGGTTGCCAGAGGGACAGGGAGCTGAACAGACTTCCCAGCAGAGGCCAGCAGGTGCAGAGTCCCTGGCAGGAAGTAACAGCTGAGTGCTGGAAGCTGCCCTTGTCGCCCACCCAGCGGACAGCAGCACAGTCTCAGCCTGCATCTTTAGGAAGGTGTGCTTCCTAAGCACACCGAGTCTGTCCTTTTATTTCTGGAGGGGTTCAGAAACACAGCCAGGCTGAGGCACCAGCAGTGTACGGGCTGGGCTGCAGGAGGCTCTGGGGTCTGGCTGGGAAGGGCCTTGTATGCTGTACCATGAGGATTTAGGTCTAGTCTGAGGGCAGGCAGTAGAAACCTCTAGCTGTGGCCCTTACATCTTAGAACTACACATAGACGGTTAACAATTGCTATAAAATGGGGGGAGGAATATAAAAGCATACATCAGTAAAAAAAAAAAGGCTGGAAACCACCTGCTTACTGCCCATCAGTAGGGGACTGCTTGTGTAAATTTTGACCTGTTCAAATAGTGGGATACTGTGCAACTTGCAAAAAAATATGAGGGTGCTTTTAGATGCCATATGGGCTAATCGGCAAGATGTTAAGTAAAGGAACAAAGTGCAGAGCAGTGTTGGGTACATAGGGTACATAGATAGATAGCACTCCTCTTCACAGCAACTTACATTTGGGCACTGAGTCTACTTCCAGGTTGGTAGTGAGAGTATATCACTGAAGGCAATTAACACATAAATGCTTTGCTTCATAATTCAGTGATGCCGTATAATAAATTGTTATGAAAACAAGTAGTAACCTGTGTCCCCGAAAATAAGACAGTGTCTTATATTAAGTTTTTGCTCCCAAAGACGCACTAGGTCTTATTTTCAGGGGATGTCTTATTTTTCCACGAAGAAGAATACAGTACACATTTATTGTTAAATGAAAATAAAGGAAATTTATTACCTGTAGTACGGTAGTTGTCAACACAAGCCAGACAAACTGAATCCTACAGTATCAAGAATTTACTCATTTATTCAATGACAATCATGTCATCATCTTCTGGAACATCATCATCATAATCTAATTCCTGAATTTCCTGGTGAATTTCTTGTGACTCCATTTCTTTCAGAATCAGTGGTCCAAATCTCTCAAGTTTAGCCTGGGGGGGAGGGGCTTATTTTCGGGGGATGCCTTAATATTTCACTCAGAAGGAAACCTGTAAGTAGGTCTTATTTTCGGAGGATGTCTTATTTTCAGAGAAACACGGGTAGATACAAACTGATTTGGAACAAATTTCTGTACAAGGTTATCCATTTGGGCCAACAAAAACAAAAATTCAGTGAATATTTTTAAATGTCTCTATTCAAAAGTGCTGGTTTTGTTTTTCTACTTATCTGGAAACAGCCTTTTTATTTCTTTACTCCAATAGGAGCATATAGCCAATGCAAATTTTATTAGGATTGCCACAGTCTAAGTACAGTATATTTGTTGCCCAAAATTGCATTTCCAAAGTTGGACGTAGAAGAAAAGATCCCCACACTAACAAAGGGGGTTGGAGTTGGCAATCCCAAATAACAGCCGGTGTACATGTAGCTGAGGGCTAAGGCAAGCTTACTGGACTTACAGCAGGAGCAGACCAATCATAGCTGTTTCGAGACCGAATAGACAGTGCTGAGTGACAGCGCTGTGACTGAGCACAACATGCATCCCTGGCGATGCTGGTTACATGGTGTGGGTTGCATTTTGTTCTGCTACAGGTTAGTAGAACTGGGTTAAACATTGGGATTATGTTGAGTTTACTCAGTCTTTGGACTTTAATAATTTGTCATGGATGTAGAACTTCTCACTAACCCTGATTTTATGATGGGGAGTTCAGAAGCTGTTGGTCCTGGTCTGGCCTGTAGAGAGTGGAGGGTGCATGAAGTAAGCATGGGAGCGGCCCTGGGGTGCATGCGCCACGGAATTCCTTGCCGATGTTTAATCAGACACCCTTGTTATGACAGGTGTTTCCAAACAGGGCATTCGGGAGCAGATCTGGGACTACATGGAAGCACAAAATATAGCTGAGTTTCCCTGGCCTGTCCATCGTAGGATTCCCAACTTCAAGGTACTGAAACGTCCCCAGAGCATTCAGGAGGGAAACGGTATTCCTAAATGAATAACAGTGACACTGTTACCATCCTGTTCATGGTGTGAAATCCAAGCCACCAGGCGAAAGTGTTTCTGTGTTTCGGGTGTCCCTTCACTCTCAGGGCCCCTTTCTGTGCAGGATGGGTTGGTGGATTGTCTTATCGACATGGTTCTCAGCCTATGTTTACTATTTGATGCAGAATGAAGTGTTTATCTGGCTGAACGCATGTTATTGGGTCCCCAAGAATGGAAAGGGCGGTGTGCTCTGAGATGTCAGCCCACTGCTACACTGCTAGCACCTCTGGAGAGAGGGAGGCTTCGCCAGGCCCGGACGACTCTGGGCCTCAGGTTCCCAGCCGCTCGGAACAGAAGACACTATAAGTTGTCTCTGTGAGAGGATCAGTAGAAGCAAGTTTGCTTGAAAAAGGCAACATGCACAGCTCTAATGTTTGGCATTCATGTTTCCCAAGAGAAAAAGCAAGTGCCTGTTGAAAATACACTGCTCTCTCGGCCGGAAGGGTGCGGCCCGTGTGCTTGCCATCATCCCCATTTGGGCTGGACGTTCTCTCCCAGCCCGGCTCCCGAGAAGCAGGCCCCAGTCCTTGCCTGGTCCTTAGCTGAGCTGGTTGCGAGACCATTCTGTTCTGAAAAACTGCTCTTTTGGATGGTTTTGTCGCTACTTTGCTTTGTTTTCGTGCTTGTTACTCCAGGGAGAGAACTGTACGTGAGTACAGGGGAAGGATGGGAGGTGCACAGAGTCAGTGATAATCTTTCAAAACAACCAGCTAGGACCAGGACAGGGGTTCTGGGCTTGGGCTCTAACCGGGATTCATATACTCTGTCTTGTTCAGGTGGTGTTCACAGGTGTGTTCCTTTGTGAAAATTCATTAAGCTGACACATGATTGGTACCCTTTGGGGGAGTGTGTTTTATATCAGTAGCAAACTGGGGCTAGGCCAGCTTTCTCAGCCCCTTTCTACCCTGACTGCTTTCTTAGACGTTTCTTTGTGTGACTCTTAAATCCTGTTTCACACACGATGAGTGCTTCCGCTGTCTGGGAGGGATGCCGGAGCAGGTGCTCAGGCTGCAGTCGTCCTCAGTAACGTGCAGTTGCCTTTAACACAGGGTGCGTCTCGGGCCGCTGAGCACTTCCCACGCTTGCAGGCATTCAAAATGGCCAGGACCATTAAAGTCAACCCTGATGCTCCCCAGAAAAACGCTCGCTTCTTCGTCCTGGACGTAAGTGCAACTCTGTCTGCTTGCCTACCCAGGACGCTTATCTGGCTTGCCAAAACATCAAAGACCTCGAATTTTTTGCCAGAACACAGGAAGTTAAAGTGGACCCCGATAAACCGCTGGAAGGCGTTCGCCTGCTGGCGCTGCAGGTAATCCCATGTCCCTGGTACTGAAACATCCCCAGAGCGCAGAGACCTGGCCCTTACTGGAAGGCGCTCCCCACATGGCTGGTAAATGCTCAGAAGGCTGGTTCTTCTAGTCCCTCCCACGCAGAACGTGCCCTGGAGTTGTTTTTCCAGGAACAGTCCAGAAGCCTTTCACTTGCTCAGCAGTCTGTCAGTCAGAAGTCCTGGATGTTTCCGGAATTCAAAGATAAAAGACATGCAAGATGTTGGCATTGAGGCATTCTCAGTTCTGATGTGCTCCATCAGAAGGGGAAGAGTACAATGTTTCTTTCTTTCTCCTACCTTTGTAATATTGCAGTTCCTGGAAATATGATAACCCACGAGTTAGGAATTTCTTGAGTTCCCAAAATATATAAATTAGAACAGTGTTTCTTAATTGTATAGGCCCCCTTTCAAAAAACATTCTCCAGGGTTGCTTTACATTATTATAATTCAATAAGTGTAAACATAAAACTTGGTATAAATTTTAATGCTCATAGTTCTTATGCAATGATAACATGAAAATAAACATATACTAGTACATTAAACACAAACAAAACTTTAAAAGCAGTAACATTCATATAACCACTAATTTTAGGAACAGGTGATGTTTTGCTGAACACATCGCTGCTGATAATGGGAATGCAGTACTGAGAGCAGTGGGGCAGGGTCTTCGGAATTCTGACTTACCCTCCCTACTCCTCTTAGCCGTCCAGAGAAGCCTTCGTTCTGTAGGGCACCTTTCAACCCACGTGGTGAAAGGAATACCATAGAGTAATTTTACCAGGAATGGGGAGAGTGTAGGGATCCTGCACTATCCGGTGTAGGAAGTGATTCTGCCTTCTGTTTGTGGTTTAGCCCCAAGAGGCCTCTGGTGTAGGCTCTTCTGGAAGCATTCTTCCTTGCCACCTTATTTTCCCGGTCAGTAAAGCACTTTAATGAACTAGAGATGGTGATAGCAACAGCAGGAAAGAACCCACAGTGAGCAGGTATATATGAAACCCATTTCTTTTTTTCTTTTTCTTTTTTAATATATTTAATTGACTTTTTACAGAGAGGCAAGGAGAGAGATAGAGTTAGAAATACTGGTGAGAGAGAAACATTGAGCAGTTGCCTCCTGCACACCCTCCACTGGGGATGTACCCGCAACCAAGGTACATCCCTTGACCGGAATCGAACCTGGGACCCTTGAGTCTGCAGGCTGGCGCTCTATCCACTGAGCCAAACCGGCTAGGGCTAGGAAACCCATTTCTTTCTAAACATTTTCCTATGTTCATTTAATCCTGCTGACAGCCCCGTAGGAGAGATCTCTTCCCATGTGACATTGGAGAAACCAGACATAGAGAGGTCAAGTGTCTTGACTAAGTCACACGTCAGGAATGGTAGAGACTGGATGGGACACTCAGTCCTCATTGTCACTTTACTTATTTAGGGGAAATAAATAGCCACGCTGTATTTCAGGCTCTCCAGGCATAGGGATGTAGTGGTGAAAAGCACACAACGTCACCTGTAGCCCTTATGCTCTAGGGCTATAAGTTCATCAGTGGTTTCGTGTAGTGGGTAAACAATCATGTAGGAAGCATGTAAAACTGCAGGTTCCCTAGTCCCATCTGAGTGCAAGCAGGGACCTGGCTTCCCAGCTCAACCCCAGGCCTTGAATTGGTTTGTGCTTGAGAACCATTGGCCTTGGCTGCACTTGCCAACACTCACTGCACGTCAGTACCCTTCCGGGAGCTTTGAAGATGTCTGTCACTGAAATCAGGTCCTGAGTCAGGCTCTGAGCAGGTCTGGAGTTGCTAATGTACAGCTAGGCTTGAGATCTGCTGAGCTACAGGGTGAGCAGCTTCCAGAGAAGAGGGAGTAACCGGAATCAGCCTTCAGTGTACCAGAGTCATCGGAGACGGCACATGCCAGGAATCCAACACTGGTTAACGCTCAAAAGGAAAACAGCATGCGGTCATTGCTTGTATGAAATACTCTTCTCCGTGGTTGAAAATGTTTATTTTAGTAAGCCAAACTGATTTCATGGGTCTTTTATTGGCCTCAGGCTGGCTTCTCCTGCACAAAAACTGAGCATAGTATTTTTTACACAAAAGATTTTATGAATGTTATGATTGCCTGTGGCCCTCCCCTGGGTGATCAACAGAGATGCCCAGGGCAGTGGTTCTCCTGACTGACCAGGTGGGCTGTTAAAGCAGATTGCTAGGCCGGCTTCAGGTCATTTCTAGCAAGTGCCAGGGGTTTCTATGGCTGCTGCCCAGGGGCACCCACTCTGAGAAGCCCTGTATCCTCTGGCACTCACAGTCTGAGACTACAATCAAACCTGGTTCTCCAACGGCTCCCATGTTGACCAGTTTGGTTCACAGAAAAAAAAAAAAAATCTTAGTTGTCAAACAAAACTTTATTTTTCAACCTGACCACCCTTTTATGATCAGCAAGACAAAAAGTGTCTCTTAGGCAACAAACAAAGGAGAGAATGCTTTTGTTGCTGGCGATTAGCACAATTTTAAAACATAAAGAGGCCATAGGGAGTGCTAATGTCGCTAAGGGTGTGAAAATGCTCACAAAACCACAGTCACAGGCAAGTGAATAGGCAGAAAAACTGTTGTTGATTGGATCAGTGAAAGGCAGTTAGCCCAGGAGAGCATGTTGGAGGCAGTGGTACATAGAGAATTCATTTAAGGTTAGTAGGGGGTGGTTTGATAAATTTAAGAAAAATGTGCTTATTTATAGATTAAACAGTACATTAGACATGTACTATATAGAAGAAAGGTTAAAACAGGGAATCAGCTGAAACAGGTTTGGCTCAGTGGATAGAGCGTTGGCCTGTGGACTGAAAGGTCCCAGGTTCGATTCCGGTTGCAGGCACATCCCCAGTAGGCAGCTGATGGATGATTCTCTCTCATCGATGTTTCTAACTCTCTATCCCTCTCTCTTCCTCTCTGTAAAAAATTAATAAAATATATTTAAAACAAAAACAAAAAAAACCCGGAATCATTTGGGAGTCTGGAATGGATTAATTCATAAATAATTTACATTATTTCTAATGAGGAAAATGTTTTAGTTTTCCAACAAATCACTTCTTGAACAGCCAAGTTAGAGAACCGAGGTTCCACTGTAGAAGATAAGGGCTGTTGACACAGGTGAATATATAATATTGATTCTATCCAAGTGCTGACCTTTTAGATTGTGATTTATTGAATAGCAAACTAGAGATAAATGCTTGATGGCAAAACATTCTTAATGTAGCTCTAGCGACTAGTTTCAAATTAAAACAGTAACTATATAATTAATGCTGAGAACAGGGAACATGAGAAAGTTATGGTTGGAAATTTTATAAGAACAGACCTTTGTTTGGATTTGTGTTGTCATTTTTTTGCATGTCACAGTTTTCACTGGCAAGTGAAGTAGAATTAGCTGTTAACAAATGCCCTGCGAAAGGCTGGGGAAAGTAGTGTCTCTGAGTAAAATGAACCCCCACACATTTATCTATTTGGTTGCAAACAAGTCATTTCCTTGGCAGACACCAAGAAATTGCAGATAATAGTAACTTGTTTCACTCCTGAAATGTTAAAAATATACGCAAGAAAGTTCCTATTTCATTTTGTAATTTATCAATTTTTTCTTTTAAAAGAGCAAAAAAACATTGTTGGTTCCAACACCAAGACTGAGAACAGGGTTATTTAATCGGATCACACCACCCCCTGGGGCAACTAAAGACATCCTGAGAAAATGTGCCACTTCTCAGGTAAGTGCAAGAGGAGAGAGATGTTTCAGCTGCAGCTTCTGCTCAGTTAGAAAATAGCCTATAATTTACCACAATGATGGAAATTTATTTTTATCACAGTCAAATGAACAGAGATGTTGCAAAGTTTTCAGCAGTCCTGTCATTAAGGGAGCCAGGTAGAAACATGATGAATACATGGGTTCTATTTTTATACCTTGGTTTCTAATTTTTTACAAAACTAGCAGATTATAAATTCTGTTAAAAGAGAAAAGGAAAAACAAATTACCTGGTACTCTATCCCCCTCTAGTGTTAATATGTGATATTTAGTGGTCTGTAGATTTTTATCAAAGGCCATGAGAGCAATTGGGATAGAATTTCCAAAATATGTTCAATTATAATGACTCACCAGTTGTAAATTAATTATTGCTTATATATACATATGTATATATAAAAATGCACACGCACTTTGAATAGTTATAAAGACGGTATTTATTAAAATTCATTTCAGTTTTTAAATATAATAAAATCTACAGACATAGTGTTGTATACATTTGGGAGAGTCATCCTATATATATGTGTGTGTATAAATGGGTATGTATATATGAGGATATATATACATTGTATATAAGATATTATTGAATGCCTCACCATGTAATAAAACCAAAGTGTGTAACTATTACATTAGTGTGTATTATAATGGAATTTATCTTGTAGTTTACAGATAAAGAAATATAATTTGGTGGTTTTTCAGACTCCTAGAGTAGACCCAGGTCATTTGATTCTTTTTTTTTTTTTAATTTAATAAATCTTTATTATTCAGAGTATTACAATTGTTCCTCTTTTTTCCCTCCATAGCTCCCCTCCACCAGGTTCCTACCCCACCTTATCATCCCCACTGTCCTCATCCATAGGTGCACGATTTTTGTTCAGTCTCTTCCTGCACCCCCCACTTCCCTTTTCCCCAATAATCATCAGTCCGCTCCCTTTCTATACCCCTGATTCTATTATATTCACCAGTTAATACTGTTCATCAGATTTTTTATTCCCTTGGTTTTTAGATTCACTTGTTGATAGTTATGTATTTGTTGTTCATAATTTTTATCTTTATCATCTTCTTCCTCTTCTTAAAGAGTACCTTTCAGCATTTCATATAATTCTGGTTTGGCGGTGATGAACTCCTTTAGCTTTTTTTTTTAATTATTATTTGTGAAGCTCTTTATCTGGCCTTCAAGTCTGAATGATAGCTTTCATTCAGTAGACTAATCTTGGTTGTAGGTTCTTGCTATTTATCACTTTGAATATTTCTTGCCATTTCCGTCTGATCTGCATAGTTCTGTTGAGAAATCAGCTTACAATCGTATGGGTGCTCCCTTATAGGTAACTAACTGCTTTTCTCTTGCTACTTTTAATATTCTCTCTTTGTCTTTGCTCTTGGAATTTTAATTATGATGTGTCTTGCTGTGGTTCTCTTCGGATTTCTTTTGTTTGGGGTTCTCTGTGCTTCCTGTACTTGTAAGTCTATTTCTTTCACCAGGTGGGGGAAGTTTTCGGTCACTATTTCCTCAAATAGGTTTTCAGTATCTTGCTCTCTCTATTTTTCTGGGACCCCCATAATTCTGATGATGGTACGTTTGAAGTTGTCCCAGAAGCTTCTTACACTATTTTCAACTTTTTGTATTCTATTTGCTTTTTGCTTTTCAGGAGGAGTGTTTTTGCTTCTTGCTATTTCAAATCTTTGACTTGATTCTTTCGATCCTCTAGTCTGCTTTAGGCCTCTGTATAATATTTTTTATTTCAATTAGTGTATGCTTAATGTCTAGTTGATCCCTTTTCATATCCTCAAGGGACTTGTTTAATTTATTGGCCTTTTCTAGGAAATTCTTGAAAAACCTTATAACTGTGGTTTTGAACTCTATATCCAATCTTTTGCTTTCCTCCATTTCCTTCAGTTGAGGCCTGCCTCTTTGTCTCCACATTTTAACTGCTTCCCTGAATTGATGGAGTGGCTTTGCGTGATACGTGTCCTAGCAGAACCCAGTAACTCAGCCTCCCCAGTTATCTGTGGTGGACCCTCTTGGTGCAGCCCTTTGTGGGCTGTGTGTGCAGTCTTGTTGTAGTTAAGCCTTGCTTGTTGTTAGTATCACTGGGGAGAGTTGATCTCCAAGCCAAATGGCTGTGATGATCAGCAGTGTCTCTGCTAGGAGTGCTTCTGTGCTCAGCTTGGATGGGGCGGAGTCTCAGGGTGCAGACAAGCTTTGGTTTCCTGTCAGCCCCGCCCTAAGAGGGCCCTGTTCTCAGAGTCTCATGGCAATGGCTGCTGACTGCGCGCACCTCTGAGAGAAAGTTGCTCTCTAGTTTCGCCCGCTGCCAGACAGTCCAATTTCTCCCTGTCCAGAGCTGGATATCAGTGCAATCAGGAGGTTTTGTTTTCCTCCCCAACAAGAAAGCTAGCCACGCATTAGCTGCCCACCCTCTCTGTGTGCCGCAAGTAAGCCAGCAGCATATTCAGCTCACCGTCCTTTTCGCGCTCACAGATCTCCACACCTCCACAGCTCCTGAGGCTCAGCGTTCTTTTCTCTCTTTTTCTAGTTGATAGAGCTTCCACTCAGCCAGCTTTCTGGTGGTTCTGGACGATGTCCGCTCTTGTTTTCCAGTTATAATTTTAAAATTGTTGTGGTAGGCTACATTTAGATGTTTACCTTATGCCACCATTTTGGTTTCTCCAGTCATTTGGTTCTTAATTTGCTGGAATAAAAAATAGGGCATCAAGATATTCCTTTTTTACAGAGATTTTTCACTTGAATCTAATGTGTAAAAATTAATGCTTTATTGTTATTTATTGATAACCTGTTGTATTCCAAAAATGGAGTTTGATGAGGCTTACAATAGTACATAAAATAAAGTAAAATAATAAAATATGTGTGGGAAAAGGCGCACAGGGAAAATAAGGAAGAAGAATAAGAAGCAGCAGTGATTCAGGTTGCTGCTCACAACTGCAAGCCTGTGACCCTCTTCCCTTGGCAACCTGGGTTGCAGATTTGAACCCACATTTCTTGGAGCGACAGGGGATGTGTTCCGTGTAAATCATAGGCTCATGACAGTAACAGAGTCTTTTCCTGGGATTGAGGTCCAGGTTCGTGCTGCTATAGTGGTCTGTCACTCGAAACAGCATCCCTCTCCCCTCCAAAAGGGGACCACCACTCTGCCAGGAGTTGCCCATGGAGCACCGGCACTGGCTGGTCCCACACATGCACTCCTGAAAGCTAAACAGCCCACCAGAAGGCCAGACCCATTCCCATGGCTGAACTTTAATAAGGATTAAACAGCAGGGTTTGGGCGTTTTATAGCATGAGATACTGGATCCAAATCAGAGATCCCGAGTCATGAACTTCAAAAAGATTTTCATTTCCATTTGATTTATGGCTAGGGAAAGTGGTGAAGTGGGGAGAGACATGTCTGCACACAGATACAGATTTTAGTGCGATCATTATCTTGCTTGCCAAAGCTCAGTGGCAGAAATACTGCCGCAGTGTCTCTCTACTCTAGGAGGCTCCGGGGGCTTCTTATTTCTTGGAAGATGAGTCTCTGAGTTTGTCCTCACCACCTCAGCCCCCTGTCACCATCATACCCAGCCATCTATGTCTGTCATCCTTGTCGTCGTATTTGCTCGGACACAGGAGTGTTCTGGTAACCACCCCGTGGGCGGGCAGAAAAGTGTGTCAATCACATGATAAGTCCGTCTACCCATCAGTGACTCTTTTTGTTGATTGGAACATGACTTTGGAGAATCGGGAGACTCCTGCTTGCTCATGCTCTGTCTGGTGAGGCTTAGCAGGTGAGGCTGGCTGAGTGAGGGAAGAGGAATTATGACAGAGTTACAGCCCAGAAACCCACACAGCTGTCTGCTCACTGCGGCTGCCCAGCACTGAGCCCATTAAAACTGAGTTGGGGACAAGGGCTGTGGACATGAGATGCCTGTCTCCGTGGCCTCTGAGAGTGAGGAAAACAGGTTTTCCCGCAGTGGGAACACCGAGGCTGTTGACTAGTTTGACTGTTGGGAGTCCCCCAGACTAATCTCATGTACTGATTCTGTTAGTGGCTTGTCATATAGTTGTAGACGGGGGACAGGGGCCAATACCACACCTAGTGACTCGCTTCTGCCAGGTACTGCTCTGAGCAGCGTCCCAATCTGGTTTCCTAGGTTAACTGTAGCCCTTGTTATGGAATCACGGCCTATCAGCTTCCCTATTCGTTAAATACAGGCCTCCACTAGTTAGCACACATGCGGGTACTTTCGGTGCACTTTGGTTGAATAGGTAATATTTCAGAAGTGAGTGTGCTATACACCAAGGCAATGGCCTCCAGGCTTTCATACTGCATGAATGTGGCCACATCTTAGGTGCCAAATGCTGTACCTCCGTGTTACTGTTTCATCGTAACGCCAGCCCAGCAAGCCTGGGGTGGTGTCCCTGTCTGAAAGATGAGAAACTGAAGCCCAGAGCGCGTCCTCCTGCTGAGTCACAGGGCAGAGGGAGCTGGGCCGCGTTCAGAGGGACTCCTGAGCCTGCCTGTGTGCTGATCACGGTGCTCTTCTGTGGCATGGGAAAGGGTTTGCTAAAAATCACGAGGTAAATATCCTATATGTGCTGTCAGTTCCTCTTGGCGTCTTTCCTGGGAAGACACTGTGGTAACCATCCTACAATGGTTTTCCTGAGATTCCGTCTGTGCCATCGTTGTAGGGCTGTGTGTGCATCTGTTTCTCGCGGGAGGTTGATTCCGACTCGCAGTCTTCTGTGAGCTGTGAGGTGGGGCAGCCGCTCGCTGCGGGGAAGCTCAGGTCTGTGTTTCTCTCCGCAGGGCGTGAGGGACTACAGTGTGCCCGTGGACTTGGACGCCAGGGTCCTCGTGGACTTGGTGGTGGTAGGCTCCGTGGCTGTTTCTGAAAAAGGTAAGATTAAAAACAGAAACCCCAGTGCGACCACTTAGCCTGCAGTTTGCTTTCCACTGGCTCTTCTCTGCTTCTGAGCACCAACAGCAAGGAATTTCAGCTTCTGGTCACATGCCTGGCTTCCAAAACCATTCATTTTGAAAAGTTAACTCCATCCCTCCCACTCCTGGCCCCACTTAACACTTTTACGGTATTTTCATTCTTCTCAACAGGAAAAATACAGTAAGATGTCCCCTTCAGGTGGTGAAAGGTTTTCCCTCTGTTCCTAACTGGCACCGAGCTGAATTTATTTGCAGTAGGTCAGTAAATTGCTGGTTTTGGGGAGCCTCCAGTAAGTGGGAAACCTTAACTGCTACACCTTTTGTTATGGAGCAGCAGCATTCTGGACAAGACGTGCCCTAGGCCTGGTGCTTCGTGGTGCTGGCAGGTGAGCTGCGAGGCTTGGTGCTTTGGAGTATAGGTGAGCTGTGAGGCCTGGTGCTTCGCAGTGCAGGCTGGTGAGCAGTGTGGCACTGGCCCTCTGCCTGGCACCCTCGGGTGGGTCCCTGTGCTTCCCAAGGGACCTCTTCCCCCTGCACTGCTCTGCCCCAGCCCAGCCTGTTGCTCTTTGAAAACAATCTGTTGATTCTTTGCTGGAACCTCAGACCTGCTTATACAGTGTGATTTGGGTCCCACTAGGAAAGTGTTCTCTCTCCTCTCATCTCCAAAACTCTTTGTTTTTATTTAAATATGTCCTCATTGATTTCAGAGAGGAAGGGAGAGGGAGAGAGAGAGAAATACCAGTGATGAGAGAGAATCATTGATTGGTTGCCTCCTGTAAACCCCACACCAGGGATCAAGCCCATAATCTGGGCATGTGACCGGGAATCAAACTGTGACCTCCTGATTCATAGGTCGACGCTCAAACTCTGAGCCATGCAGGCTGGGCACCCAAAGCTTTCTCTTTGAAATTAATTGGTCAAGGTCCAGCTCTGTCTTTAGGAGAGGTTTTTAGTAAGTAGTTGGTGAGAGATGCTCCAAGGCAATCATTGAGCTTGCTGTTTTTAAATGCTGGTCCGCAGCATCTTCACCTTCAATTTACTTTCTGTCTTTTCCCAGCTCTGAGCTAATATGGGAGATGTTTTGTGTTACCTGTGCACAGTTACAGTTACTTTATCTGTCACAAGGGGGTTGCACATGAGCCAGGGGCCAGGAGCCAGGCCAGCAGGGTGTTCTCTGCCCGGGGTCCACAGTGAGTGGGAGGAGCAGACAGCAGCCCAATTGCAGGACCATGTGCACAGCATCGGGGGGAAGTTAGGACGGGCAGCAGCGGGGTCAGAGGAGACACCTGTGAGCCTCGAGCAGGGCATCATCTCAGAAGTGACACCAGGGCTGGCCCTTGCACACCTCTCTTCCCACCACCTTGTTAATCACAGAAATCATCCATCTTTAATGATTTGCCCATCTGATGGCATTTCATGTGCCCTTTGATTTGCATCAGTTAGGAGTGAAATTCAACATTCTCATCTGTGTGCTGTTCATCTGCCCATCTCTTTCTGTGGATGGTTCATATCCCTTGCTATTTTTTTATTGAATTAGTCTTTCTCTTATTTCTTTGCCTGCACTGTTGAAGGCTTTTAATTGTAAAAGTATCATGATCAGATCTGAATCTCAGATGCACGAGCAATGATGCTTACTTACACTCTCGGTGGTGAGGCTGAGGTGAAGTAGAAGTCAGAATTTCTGCACTGTCATGGCTGCTACCCAGAGGACTGTATAGGCTCAATTTGGGAGCCAGAGGCATGTTACTGCTTACTGTCCTGCTGTGTTCTTTCCTCCTGTATCCTTGGATAATAATCCCTTTGCTATGCTACCATTTACGAATTAGCAGAAATACCACCCTCCCTCAGGAGCTGTAGGGTTGATTGGGTAGCTGTGCCATCTTAAATCACATAGCCCTGATTTTAGAGCTTTTATTTTCCCTTCAAGGAAGGAGATGAAAAAGATTTTGCCTTTAATAGGAAGTTACTCTTAGTTTTTTCAAAAACAACTCTTTCGCCGAAACCGGTTTGGCTCAGTGGTAGAGCATCGGCCTGTAGACTGAAAGGTCACGGGTTCGATTCCGGTCAAGGGCATGTATCTTGATTGCGGGCGCATCCCCGGTGGGGGGGTGCGCAAGAGGCAGTTGGTCGATGTTTCTCTCTCATCGACATTTCTAGCTCTCTCTCTCTTTCCCTTCCTCTCTGTGAAAAAATCAATAAAATACATTTTTAAAAAAACCAAAAACAACTCTTTTATTGTTTTTAAATGGAGCCCTGATAGCACAAAGCTCACATAAACGCAGGCTCAGTTACCTTTTGTAGCATGTTTAATTGGTTTGACGTTCACTTCATTGTTGTGTTAGCCACTGTACTCAGTGTTGTTACTTCTCTCTGATATTCAGTGTTGTTACTCCTCTCTGATTCCTCTTTAAGTTAGTTCTCAGTGGGCCACCTGTGGAGTTACTGTGGAAAGCCAGGAATATGGGGTCCATGTTTCTCCCTTCACTGTGACGTAATGAAAAGTTTCTCAGGTGTTGATTCTCTGCGTTGTCTCCTAGGCTGGAGAATTGGGAAGGGAGAAGGTTTTGCTGACCTTGAATATGCCATGATGGCGTCGATGGGAGCAGTCAGCCAGGGGACGCCAGTGGTCACCATCGTCCACGACTGCCAGGTGCTTCCTGTGGCCAATGAGCCACTGCCATGCTCCTCTGAGAGAGTGAGGGGTCGGGGGGACGGATGGGACGGTGGGAGAGACAGACCAGTCCCTCCCTTTAGTCCACACTGTGTCATGAGTGGCACTGATCAGCTGGGGCTGGGCCTGTTTAGTGAGGGGCCAGCTAGGCCGCTCCCAGAGGATCGGGGAGATGGAACCTCCACTGCATGGTGCCGTGCACACTGCAGCGTGTCCCCGTCAGCTCCTTACCACTTCTGTTTGCCTAGGTCATCGACATACCTGAAGCGCTTCTTGAGGATCACGACCTCACCGTGGACTATATTCTTACTCCAACCAGAGTCATCACCACGGGGTGCGAGCGCCCAAAGCCAACAGGAATCATATGGTCTAAGGTGGGTCAGCGTGTGGCATCGAGGGCAGCCACAGCCTCCCGTGGCCAGTGCTGGCCACAGCTTGGAGGCATCTCTCTTTCATGTGCTCTCCATCTGACATGGCTGGACGTTAGAGTTATCATGAGCTTTTCAATAATTCAGCTCAGGCACAGACGTAAGAATTACTTTGCACACCCATGGGATTCTGATTACCAGCCAGGTTCAAGGTCTCCTTCCACAAGTCATCTAGCTATAGACAGCAGAAATGAGCCGATCACTAGGAGGGCTAGCGACTAGGATTTATTTGCCAGCTGGTTTATAGCATTATACTTAGAGACACTGTAATTAGAAAGCTAGTGGGCACTTCCAGGCATGGGTGGCATCTGGGGAAGACAGCCCATGTCCTGGCTTGTCCTCCTCTGAGTGCGCTTCCTCTGGAACCCTTCCACCTGGCATTTGGAGGGACCTCAGAGCACTGTCATCAGTGATAAGCTCTAGTCTCATGCAGAAGGGTTATATTTCCATTGGAAATACTTGTGGCTTTCTGTTCCTCTTTGCCGGCAGCAGCTCAGACCTGCCCTAGCATTTTAGAATGGAGGGGATTTTAAAGACCCCATCCTTCTCTCCTCATCTCTGGTTCAGGAAAGCGAGAGCCAGAAGGAAAGCCACGTATCCAAACTGTAAAGCCTTGTGTGGCTGAGGTACAATTGGAGCCCAAGGCTCTTCTTTTGGGGTGGCAGCAGATGCCTGCCGTGTCAGATCCCTGATTTATATTGGACTTACATGTATTTGTAGGGACAGGAATCATTAAAGGGCACATGAGTGACTGATATCTGTGTGCTCCAGTGAAGCGTGATTGCAGCGTATAAAAGAAAATCAAATTCGCTCTTTGCTATTTTTTTAGTTACACAGGGGTGGAAATATGTTTTTATGTTTGATTAACAAGCAACATCTTTCATTGCACATGGCACAAATGTTCCTAATTGCCAGCCAGGAAAAACAGTCGCACTGCCTTGGAGCTGTCCTGAGTGTGATGTGCAGCCGCAGGTTGGCTCACAGAGGCCTTTCTGTCCGCGTGGGGAGCCGTCGCCGAGCCGTCAGCATAGAGCACAGAAACAGCAGGCAGCTGGCAGGAGCCGCCTCGCTGCCGGGGGGGGGGGGGGGGGGGGGCGCTTTTCCGTTTAGAATTTGGGGGGATGTGGAAGATACGCTGACGTTAGCTTGTCACTCCTTGTACCCAATGAACATCCTGCTCTTGAAGCAAACAGTTTTACGTGAAAGCACGCATCCGTCATCCCAGTTTCTAAAGGCCCTTTGCACGTGCCGGTGCGAGGGTGCTGCAGACTCCCCGCTAGTGTGCGCTGTGGGTGAAAGCGTTTCATATTCGCCAGCTGGTTGCAGGTGGTTCGGTGCCAGCCTAGAGTGTGTGCAGCAGGACGTATTTTTGCTTCATGTGACATGTTTTAAAATGAACTTCTGTCGCCCGAGTGTAGAACCTTGCCCCGTGGGCCAGGTTTCCCGAGAACACTTACTTCTGCCTGAGGGAGCTCTGTGGTTCCACCGGGCAAAACCCACGAGGGGTACAGCACATGAGGGGTGGTCACCCTCCCCCGGCCCAGACAGCAGGGGCTGAGGCCTGCGGTTCCCGCTGCTGCTGCTTGCCATGGAATGACGTTTAGCTCCTCCACGTAGGTATAGTCCGGCTTTTTCTCTGGTTGTAATCGCAGGTTTTGATCATGCTTTCTATATACCACATCTAGTAACCTGAAGAATCTAATTATGATTAGTTTAAGTCAGTTTTTTCTTTAATTTTTTAAAAATATTTTATTGATATTTTACAGAGAGGAAGAGAGAGGAATAGAGAGTTAGACATAGTTAACATCAATGAGAGAATTATAGATCAGCTGCCCCTTGCACACCCCCCACCGGGGACATGCCCGCAACCAAGGCACATGCCCTTGACCGGAATCGAACCCAGGACCCTTCAATCTGTAGGCCGACGCTCTATCCACTGAGCCAAAACAGTTTCGGCTTAAGTCAGTTTTTAAATATTCTGAAAGATTACAAAAATCTGAACTTCTTAGGAAGGTAGAGTGGGGACATGGGAAGGAGTCGGGTGGGCTGGACTTAGATAATCTTTGGGATTTTTAGGGACCTAGGGCCTCTAGGCCTGTGAGTTTAATCACCTCTTGATTTTGGAGGGATAGTGGGCAAAAAGTTTCTGTCAATTAGAAAAGAGTAGTCACATCTTGTGGAAATCCCATAGCACAGACATGATTTTTTCCTACGTGTCTGAACAGTGAGCAACATGAGAAAGAGCAAGCCTGTCTGTGCACCATCTTTCCATGGCAGCTGAGTCTGTGCCATTCTGAAGCCCAGAAGGACAAGTGCCGCTCACAGAGGCTTCTCTAAGGGACTGAGAGTGCGTGCTTCAGTGAGCGTGATTGTAGCATGTGAAAGAAAACCAAATTTGCTCTGCCAGGGAGCAAGGCCGGTGTCCACTCAGAGAGAGCTCTGACCCACAGAGGGGCTTTGCAGAGGTGGGGAGTGTTACTTGGACCAGGTACTAAATTAAGTCTGTAAGAAGGCGCTAGGCTATTCTTAGGTGTTTGTTTTCTGTAAATCTTACTCTAATTCATTGCTTTTTAACCTGAGGCCTGAACACTTCTTGTGGTTTAGAAGTCCCTGAACAGATACTGTGGAATTGTATACAGAATTGTGGGCACCCCAACCTCTGCAGGAGGTGACCGGGCCAATCGGGAAGGTGCTGCCCCCATCAACCCGCCACTGCTGCTGCCTCTGGCCTCCCTCTGTGAGAGGCGACTGAGTGCTCAGGGAAAGGCGCCACCCCCGTCACCCGCTGCTGCTGCCACTGCCCACCTCCACGATGGCCTGCCCTTGGCCCTCACAGCTGCGGCCATTTGTCCGGGAGACGTCCAGTCTAATTAGCATATTACTATTTTATTGGTATAAATTCTGCCCCAGCTCAGTGGTCCAGGCTCAGGCTGACCCACTGGCAGCCCTAGGGTCCCTGCCCCAGCAGGACAGAGCCAGCAGGCCCATGGAAGCAGTTGCAGCCTTTTCGGGAGGCTCCACAGTTGAGCCTCATTTACTGGGACACCTACCTTTCCTTTGTTGTAGGTTTCAGGAATTATCTGTTGATTAATTAGGCCAAAAAGCCAAAGATGTCCTTTGTATAGAAGTCCTGTCCATTGAGACTTAACGTTGTGTGTGTGTAGTTTTTGTTATTTTACACTCATTGCTGAATCCGTTCTATTTCAGAGAAATGCTTCTTCAGTGGAGGGTGGAGAGCAGGAGGGGATCCCTGTTGCCTATTACAGACCTCATCCTGCCCAGTGGCATAGGTCAGGGGGAGGGGACAGATACAGAGGCAAAAAAACCATTATCCTGGGGAGCCAGCAGGGGACATGCCATTTGTGACCCTTAGCCCTCATACTGCTGACCGCAGCTGCCCCTCTGTGCAGGAGGCCTTCAGTTCTCTGCTTCTGGCCTCTGGGAGAATAGAGAAAGCTGCCCGTTCTTGCCAGCTGCTGCGGCATGTCCTCAGCCAGGAGCTCAAAGCTACTGAGTAGGAGAGGGGGGACCCACATCACAGGGCTCGTGGCTTACGTGCAGATAGAGAGCATGTGTGGCAGAGGCCCCCTGTGGGGTTTTCATCTCCTCCCTCCTGACCAAGTCATGGTCCCTTTGGACACCCTGACCAGCTGGAACTGCTTTACCTTTTCAGATCAGCTGTTCGATGATGGGAAGAATCCCAATACTCAGAAGCCTTCGCTCCCGAGAGAAGCAGGCCGGGAGAGACGTCACGCTTAAGGATGAGCAGCCGCACCTAGAAGCCCGCAGCCAACACACAGCTCCGCCAGGCACTGTAAGAAGACCCGGGGGCCCAGCCCAGCCAGAGGCAGGTTCCCCGAACGGGGAGGATGTGCCTTCTGACACTGTTTATGTGGGGAACCTCCCCCAGGACACCCGAGTGAGTGAGTTGAAGAAAGCCCTCAGAGAACGGGGTGCAGCCCCACTGCGGCTCACCTGGCAGGGCCCCCAGCACAGGGCCTTCCTCCATTTCCTGGACCCAGCCTCGGCCCAGGAGGCCCTCTCCCGCTTACAGGGCTTACACCTGGGTGCCAACACCCTGAAGGTGGAGCTGGCAGGGCAGCAGAGGGCCAGTGATCCAGCGGGTGGCCATGCTAGAGACCCGCACCCAGACCATTGACTGACTGTGACAACTGGACCTCCAGAGGCCCGCATTAGTAAGATATGGCCCAACTGATGCTACACGAGCTGCTTTGACAAGGTTCGTTCTTTCTAGGAAGTCACAGCTTTCAGGCCCTGCCTGGGGAACCTCCTGATGAGTAGGAAAGTTAACAAGTGCACTTCCTACACTCCGGAGGCTGACTTCCCCAAGGATTCAGTTCTCTTTATCATTGCCCTTAGCCCACTGGGTGGTATAGCCAGGCTGGTCCTTTGGAGAGACAGCAGTTGGAGGGTTTAGGGGACCAGTGAACAATAAGCGAATGGGAGTGAGTGGTGACAGTGTTTAGGAGAGTCTGAGGCCCCGGCAGGGACCAGACGCAGGAGCACTGTGAGCAACCAGGACATGCGCTCGTGCCCTAGGACCCTGCCTGGCACTGCTGGAGGGGAAAGCTGCATTCATATTGCAGAAGCCAAGTACCTCCGCCTCCTGGGTACAAACCACTTGTCTCAACTCAGTCCTGGTGTCGGAAATGGAGAGCTGGTGTGACCTGGACCCCTGGTTGTGTGAGCTCTCCTGCTCTCCTCTGTTCTCTCCTTACCTTTCTAGCCCTTCTCCTCCCCCTGGGCTTCGCTCTGCCCTCTGTCAGTGCCGGTCACACCCCCTTCCTTCCCCCCTGCACACAGCAGGAAGCACCGGCTCACAGGAGACCATGGCTTTGGAAAGTGAGCCATCCAGGCCTGTGTCACAGGCAGTCCCACAGGTGCGCTCACACTCCCATTAGCCCAAGGCCTGTGTATTCAAGTTTTTCCCTCTAGTTTCTTGTTCCTAAAAAGGAAGCTGGATTTTGGCTGAACTATGCTTTCCAAACAGAAGCACTTTTGCAATTGATCCTGGGCACAACGTCAAAATAAGCATTTAAGTGGAGGTTTTATTTTTTCCAATGTACATGCATTGGAAATTTTATTTTTTCACCAGAGGGTCTTACTGTGTATTTTAAGTACATTATTATGCCTCAAGAGGCCAGGCCTTGCATGAACTTTCAAGAAAATATTCTTAAGGTACTCAATCACCCTTGGAAAAAGCATTTTCTTTTCGGTTTTACAATGAAAATACTGTGGAGACTTCAGAAAGACAATCTACCCAAATAGACAGATATCCAAATAGACATTTCTTTAGCAAAATGGGACAATAAGGAACAACAAGGAATTGTAATTCGGGCAAACCATGTGAAAGTCTTGAGAAACAAAGGAGAGGAACGCTCTTTTATGGACTTGGGAGGAGCTGTTGTAAACGAAGAGCCCATTGGAGGAAACTGAACGATGGAAGTGTAGTGACTTTTCGTTGGCTGAGTTATGGAAGCCTCCCATTGGCTGAGCTGTTACTAGGCCAGAAGGAATCCTTTCTTCCTCCTGCTGAGGCAGCAAGTAGACTCATGCCCTGTCAGAGAAACGGGGTGCGTCCCTCCTGTTGGGGTCAGTAGTGTGCATAGAGTGACACGTGTCAAGACCTCTCTTTCAGCTTCTGGACTCCACTTTCAACGAGGTTTCTGTTTATTAATTTTCACCATCCTTAGATTTGTTCATTAAATGCAGACTCCTTTTCCAGTTGTCATGAATAAAAGAGTAGACAAATATCTTACAATTGACCAGGACCTTCCCTGCCTTGAGACCTTGGGGCTTCTTCTGTCTTGGCGAATGTCCACCTCGTCTGCAGGACTGGCTTTGTTTTGTCACTGGGCGTTCAGCGGGGATGTCAGAGCCAACTCTGGCCACCCAAACCAGAGCAGCGAGTTGTTCATCTTACCTCCTCACTCTGTTGCCTTTTGTGTAGCTTTTCTCTTTTTCCTGAACACCTCTTGTATTCGGCATGCTCTTGTTTGTTTTTTGTTGATGTTTTCACTGTTGACTAGCATTCCAGACCAGGAAATGTGTCACTGCCTATCTTTTTCACTCCTGTGTACCCCAGCTGCAAGCAAGTCCTGGCAAATACGTAGCAGCTCCGGAAACGAATATGTGAATGGATTCATCCAAGCCCAGAGAGGGAAAGGAGAGCGTGATGATGCCACCCGAGGCCCTGTGTCCAGTTGTGCTACACCAGCCTACCATGGACTGTGACACACATCAATAGTGATCCCTCTTGGTTAAACCAGGTCACTTGGGTATTCTGTCACTTGCAGGCAGAACAATCCAGATGTATTGATATACTGATCATCTGAATGAGTATTATCATGTTTATATTTGTGGGAAAGTAATATAAGGAAAACTAAAGACCATGTGTCTGAAATATAAGTCCCCCAAATGTACCAGCCTAGGCCCACCTTTCATCCCTCCGTCCTGCCTTGGGCAGGCCTGGGCAGGCTTCCTCAGAGCCGCCAGGAAGAGCACTCAGATTGCAGGGCAAATGCTGAGGGACCCAGCTTTTTCTTCCCAAGATTTGAGTACTTGTCCGAATCAGAATTATATAATTTCATGACGATAATGGGATTAAAGAACGGAAAATGACACTTGACAACGTGCTGAGAAACACAGACATCTTTTAAGTGGAGCTGTCTTGGCTTGTGGGTCCCATCCTGTATTTTCCTAAATGGTGGTCTGCTTTGCCAGTGGATTTGCCTCGGGCCAAAGCCGCAGCGGCACAGTTTCCAGAAACTCACCGTGAGTGCTGGCCTCTGGGAGCCCAGCAGCGCAAGTTTCAATATTATAAAGTTCTTATTTCTTCATGTATTAAGATAGTCTATATCTGACAATCTAAATCCCAAAGGATGTTTTCATGGAACTTGATAAGGCCAATGTCAAAACCTACTCTAAAGCGTCAGTGCTGAAAGCAGTATGGTACTGGCAAATCAGCGCATCAATGAAACATAACGCCTCCAAGCAGGTCGGATTCTAGAATATATTACTAAGAGTAATCTCAAAGCTGGGAAGGACTTGCTTCTTAAGAAATGGGATGAAGTGGGGCCTGGAAGAGGTTAGTTGATCTATTTGGAAATGTAAAAAAAAAAAAAAAAAAAAAAAAAATAGGATGAGAGCTACTAGCTGGTGTTTTGAAGGGTGAATAGAGCAACTTGGATTTCATACCATTCATAAAATTAAATTCCAGGCTAATTTAATAGACATAAAAAGAAACAAAAGAATTTGGAGATAACACAAGGGAATGTTTTATAACGTTGGGAAGGGTTGCATAAGCAAGAGCCTGAATTTAAGGATTTTATTCCTTAGTTCCCTCTCAGAATGTCAGATTTTGATTGGTACAGAATCCAAATGACCCCAAGATGAGCCATCTGAAGAACATTCTCCAAGTAGGAAAATTAACTAGTGCATTTCATGCATTTAGTGGGTATTAACCTCTTCAAAGCTGCCTAATGCAACAAACCTTGGCTATCTGTAAATCAGCATGGAAGATTCTTTATCTTTCTGTGGAGTTTGGGAGCTGGCACCCAATTCATGTCATACTGTTAGCATAGGCAACTAGGAGTTTACAAAATAGAAGGGACCCGGCTGGCAAAGCTCAGTGGCTGAGCGTTCACCTATGAACCAGGAGGTCATGGTTTGATTCCCGGTCAGGACACAAGCCCGGGCTGTGGGCTCTATCCCCACTGTGGGATGTGCAGGAGGTAGCTGATCAATAATTCTCTTTCATCATTGGTTTCTGTATCTCTCTCCCCTCTGAAATCAATAAAAGGAGAAGGGAGCTAGACTGGCTGAGCCTGATTAAGTCAGGAAGTTACAGCTTCAGACAACAGAGGGAAGCCACGTCCTCTGCCAAAGGGGACTTAATCCCTGGGAGATCCACTTTCCAGTCTCCCAGGAAACAGTCCATTAGCCAAGATTACCAGGGCGGAAAAGGGAGGGGAAATTCATTTGCCTGGTACATGCGCAATAGGAGTCCAGATGGCGCCCATAAAGGGAAGGTATCTAGCCTGAGAAAAGGATTGGATTGGATGAGGGCATGAAACCCCAGAAGATCTAGGAAAGAGATTGGATGGGGAAGGACCCAGCACAAGCCCATGAAGCATTAGGAAAGAGATGCCTTAGTTTGAAAGGAAGCCGGCTCTCTTCCAAGCCAAGGCCTGTCTCATAGTGTGCACCTGCTCATTTGTTGGCCTATTTGCGCATGTTCTCTCTCCATAGTAGCGGTAGCAGCCGTGGAGCGCCACGCACAGGTCATTGCAGTTGTGCACCTGGGCAGCCTAGGGCCTCTGTATGGCAGCTCAGCCCCAGCCAAAGCAGCGGCAACAGATCTTACACTCGCGGATGGGGACAGAGACAGCTGGACTAAGCATTGGACTAAACTGAACTACAGCAGCGTCAGGTGCCCTTCTGATGCTGAGTCATGGCACAACCTCTCGGGACCCTGGCTCTTCTAGGCTTGGTGAAGACAAGGGTAGACTTCTTTCACAGCAGGACAGAGCTAAGCCGTCTGGTCATGGATGAGACACGGGCCTGGAGACAGTCCCTCATTTTCACTTTAATAAATCTTCCCACTGCACCTCATCCTCCCAGGCAGGGGTTTCCAAAATGCTTTTCTTGTGACTCCGAAACCCAAGCTTTTGGTACCCAGTCTCTTCCAGCTCCTTTTTCTTCCACAGATTTCCCCTACATTTTATCGCATTGCCCAATGAAATGGGAGGGATGCAGGGCCAACTGGCCGAGCCCAGGCATCCTTTTGCTTATGCCCCAGCACACGCTGCTGAGCCCTGTGAAGTGGGAGTCTGTAGGGAGCGGCCATAGGGTGAAACCTCAGACTGACCTGTGACAGGTCCCAGCTTGGAGGGCAGAGCCCTCCTAGCATAATTAAGCTTGACCTTCTAGTCCTCCCTCGTTCCTTCCTGGGTAGCTAATGGGCTGTGGGAGGTGCAGCAAGTGCTGCCAATATAAGGTGGAATTCATAAGAGCGTTGTAAACGTGTTGACCACTCCCCTTGTTTTGCTTTGTATGCTCCGACTGTAAAATAAAGCTTCCGCCTGCAGGCTGGGTCACTGCTTCCTCATCCAGGCACAGTGATGGACCTAGCCCCTGCTGTATTCTCTTGTCTGTCTTTAACCCGTCACTGCCCCTCCTCGGGCTCACCGAACCTGGCCGAGCTGGTGCAGCACAAGAAGCAATGTTCTCCCCACCGTTACAAATGGGGAAGACAGGGATCAGGATGAAGTGGTTCCCCCACCTGGTCCTACAGCCCGTTCTGGCAGAACTGCACTTTACAGAATAGAGGTCTTTGCTGCACAGCCAGTGTTCTTTCCACTTCTGCACCCACTTCTCACACCCGGGCCCCCCTGGGCTGCAGGCGCCCAGTGGGCAAGAACTCAGCCTTGTAAGAATTCCTTACCTGGCCGGGACTGGTTTGGCTCAGTGGATAGAGCGTCGGCCTGTGGACTGAAAGGTCCCGGGTTCGATTCCGGTCAAGGGCATGTGCCTTGGTTGAGGGCACATCCCCAATAGGGGGTGCAAGAGGCAGCTGATCAATGATTCTCTCTCATCGATGTTTCTAGCTCTCTATCCCTCTCTCTTCCTCTCTGTGAAAAATCAATAAAATATTTATTTAAAAAAAAAAAAAAAAGAATTCCTTACCTGCCTGAACCCTTAACACACAAGGCTGTCCTCCAAGGGTTATAGGACTTGTTCAGGGTTCCAAACCCAGGCCGAGGGGAAGGAACCCTGTGCTTGTTGTCCGTTACTTTCTCCGGGAGCGGAGGAGCAAGAACAGCACTTTCACACCCATCCTCCCAGCCCCGCTCCAGGGCAGGGGTCCTGCCCACCCCTCTGGGTCTCTGTTCTCCCAGTCCTTTGGGAATCATTTGGCCTCCCCATCTCACCCAGCGACCACACAGACCTCGCCCCAGACAGCACATAAGGAGAAAGAAGCTGATGACACAACACGGCAGATGAGAGGCTGAGAACAAAACTACCCAAGAAAAGAGCCAGTGCAGCTAAAACCACAAAAGAGCTTGCATTTGGCGAGGAGTTTGGCGAGAGGAATCCCATGTCAGATGGGAACAATTAAAAAGAGGAAAAGCCAGGACGGGATGGTCACGTAGTGAAAGCACTCTCCACCCACACCCTCAGACACCAGTGACCATCCCTGCAGGCCTGCATTTTAATGTACCAGGCCAGGCCATCTTGTTTGCCAGGAGAGAATGAAGCTTTTTGCCAAAGGAGCAAAAGTGAAGATTCCTTCCCTTCACCTTATGATCTCACTGGGAGCATTCCCACACATCATCGCCTGCCCTCCCCTGCCGCCCCGGAGGCACCTGGCTTACAGATGGCTCCTCAAAATGTTCATTTCACCCTCCCTACCCCCAGCACAAATAACTGAGTGGGTGTTGCTGAACTTCCCCGTTTGCCTGGATCTAATCTAAGCTGTCTTCCGAATAGAATAGATACCCCTAAAACTTAAGGGGCTCCAGTCATGTTCAAAATGGTTTTCTCTTTGGGGCAGGGGTTTCTGAGACACTTAAAAAAAAAAAATAAGTCTTACATAGAGCCCCATGCAGGCAGCAGGCGAGAGGGTAGTGTGTAGGTGAACAGGTAATCACTTCCCGGAAGCATTCCTTGACGGGTGCTGCCTCCCTGACTGCCCAGCCCCTTCCTCTTGCAGGGAGGGAGGGGACCACATCCTCGGCTGGGGTAGCTTCTTTCACCTATTGAGCTTTCTCCTTATAATAATGATTCCATTTATGTTGTTCATTCTATTCCACAAATGAGTGAGATCGTGTGATGTTTATCTTTCTCTGGCTTATTTCTCTCCAGGTCCATCCACACTGTTGCAAATGGTAAGAACTCCTTCCTTTTTACAGCAACGTAGTATTCCATTGTGTAGATGAACCACAGTTTTTTAATTCACTCATCTGCTGATGGACATTTAGGCTGTTTCCAAATCTTAGCTATGGTGAATTGTGCTGCTATGAACACAGGAGTGGATATATCCTTTCTGATTGGTGTTTGTAGCTTCTTGGGATATATTCCTAGAAGTGGGATCACAGAATCAAATGGGAGTTCCCACAGTGGCTGCATCACTCCGAATTCCCACCAGCAGTGCAAAAGGGTTCCTTTTTCTCAGAATATAATGAACAACATAAACTGATGAACAAAAACAGATTCAGAGACAGAGAAGCATC